TTCTGCGACAATGAAAATCGGCATGACACGTTGGTTATGCCTGTAATGAAACTCTTCAGGTATTTCTTCTTTAAGGTATGTATATAGATGTGGAACAGTCTTGAGCTTTTGGTAAGTGTCATTCAACTTTCCTTTCTTGGGTAGAACATGAAAAAACACATTAGAAGCATGGTCTGCCCTGTTTGGATCAGTGATGAGTGTATACCAGTCTGATGGAATGTAATGATCCAGCTGGATAAGACGGGAGTTGTTGACATCTGCCATGCCATGGTCGCTTGTGATAATCGGGTTTACCTAAAATGGGTCATAAAAATACAATGGAAATATATTTAGATCCATCAGTTGTTACCTAATAATAATCTTATGGGACACGTAAAGAGTTACTATATCTTACCATATATATAACATATCACAAGCATCTACTAAAAGACATTCTCTTCATTACTGAATAAGTCTAGTACCACAAATGAAGAGCAAAACAGTACGTTGTATCGTCTTACACCTACATGTATATTTCAACCGACTATACCGTCCTTTATCAGGGTGAATGGCTGTTACAAGCATCACATACCATTAATAACAAAACAAAAATTTGAAAATTTGCATGAGAGCCAGAAAGAAAGCTAAATGCGCAAGGGCATTAACCAGCTGCGAAACCAAGTAGCACTTTTCTGGCCTTCTTTATCCCGGGGCGGTGACTCCTCCCACCCCCCCCTCCCACACCAGTGTCAATAACTTAACCACTTGTCAACTTCATCCGTTCGGTCATTACAGGGATACAGGGAAATCTCAGACCGAGGACCGGTTGTAATATGGTCTTTTCAATAAACAGTTACACCTTACGGCCTTCCATCCCTAACATTTTATTGGTCTCCCCCCGAGCTTTGTGAGGTTCTGCGATACACTTTAAATATCTATTTTTGGGATTTTCAAAGATTTTGAAGCGAGCTCAAATGCTGCACCTGAAGGCCAGAGTAATAGTTCTTTACGGCTGATAAAATGGCATGAAACTTTTCACCTAATGTATATGAAGCATCTATGTATTACTGTGAGACTTGAGATTGCCTAAATTAAACGTATTTTGGCTGAAACATTTGTTGGAGGATTGATTTGTGTCGCGCCGAACCTCTTAACTCTCAAGTCAGAAAATTAAAGGTCAAATTACACTCAAGTGCTCCGTGAATTTTGCGTTCCCAAAAATTCATTTCATATGTTGCCCAGAGTTTTGAAAGCATATTTTGAAAGCTTAGAGGTTAATGTGAAATGTCTTTTTCTGTTTGAAATTATGTATCGGATGTGATTTTAGGCCTTTGAAATTTGCCAATTCCTCACTTTCAAAAATTTGATTCGGAAAAGTGCTGTTGTGACGTTGAATGTTATATTCTTGCGATTGTTCGTCCTGCTTTTCCCGTTTAGCGTCTTCCAACGCAGGTAAAATGAAGGTCACAGGAAGGGACGTGAACTTCACGTGACCGGAAACATAGTGTGATAAGAGAGTAAGAGGGTGGGTGGATGTTACTTCAAAGGCTGATCGATCAGAATATTACAAATTCCTCAATTTCAAAAATATATTTGATTTCTTTAGAACTTTACCAACCAATCAGAAGGTAAGAACGTTAGCTTCATCCAATCAGATGAAAAGAAGAGATAAAAGTGGCACTTTCAAATGGCTGAGATCGTAAATTTGCTTTGCGACCGCGCAATATTAACCCATATTAACTTCCAGTTAATAACTAACCGGTCCTTTAAGAATGACAGTGTTTTTTGTTCCCAAGCCAAAAAAACACAATGCGCCGCAGACGGCGATGAAAGATTTTGTATGCGCAGCAGTAACTGTATTTAGAATCTTTAGGTCACGAACCCCTAAGGGATGTGTCACAGGAGTGTTGAGTCATTATTTTGGGAGTTGTAAAGCGAGACCTTCTTGAACCATGCAATGTTATGGCGCGGCTTCCGTATTACGCAAATGTCGAAAATTAAAAGCGCCCTTTCTCTTCTTCTGTAGTTTTTGTCCCTGCTTCACTGCTTCGTTTTAGAATCATTAAACTATAAGTTATCGAGAGCCCCCCGCAAGTAAAATTTTAGTCCCATTTCTCTAAATCCCGATTTAAGACAACTTAATATCAGAACATTTTTTGTTCCGCTGCGACAATGGATGAACCTAGATGACCTTTGCCGTGTATGTGGCGAAAGGCTTCAAAAATCCAAGAAAGCGGTTACTTCAAAGTTTCTCTGTATGAAATGGAAAGATTTCTTGGCTGAAAATTTGAAATTTTTGTGGAAAAGGATCTTGAAGAAATACACCCGCAATATTTTTGTCATTCTACATTCATGTTACGCGCATCCTGACCGAAGAACACTGGTTAAAGCCACATGGCTTACTCATTACGATGATAACTGTAGAGTATGTTCCCATGTAGAAGGGATAAAAAAAGGAGGACGGCCCAAGAAGCCAAAAAGGGGAAGGAAGGCCGATTCAGGACCTTCTTTCAGCAATTCAGTAAGCAGGAGACAAAGGTTGTCAACGAAACCTCTTTACAAGATCTTGAAGAGCTTACTAAAGACCTACCTTCTCTTCGCTTCAAGGAGTTTTCCGATAAATTTTCCTTTCCCGTAGACTACGAGTAGTCCCCCATTTTTCTTCAGGGATAGTAGAACGTGCGAAACGCGAGCGCGCGTGAAAATCACCCCACGCGAGCAAAGGCGACACGCGGCGGGGAGAGAGAAAAATGCCGCCGCGTGTCGCCTTTTCTCGCATGGGGTGATTTTCACGCTCGCTCGCGTTTCGCACGCTCTACTATCTGTGAGGAAAAATGGGGGACTACTCGTAGTCTACCTTTCCCGAAAATAGGAAACGAGATTTAATTTGCCCGGTTTGCCTGCAAGTCTTGGATAAGCCAGTGGAAACCACTTGTCAGCACTACTTTTGTGTAGAATGCCTAAAGGGCTTAATTAACAGTGGTCAAAGGGGTACATAAGCTGTCTGTAAGGAGAAAGTTGGCCCTGTAAAAATCCCTACACGAATGGTTCTAAAATTAATAGCTGAGCAGGAGGTAATATGTTAGAAATGTGGCCAGACTGTGCACTACGAACACAGTTCATCTCATGTTTGTTCCAATGACACTGCACCTGTTCCTGAACAACCTCCAGCAATGGCAGATCCCCTTGATCCCACCCAGACTTTGCAGGAAGTTCTAAAAGACACTCAAGCTGGTAATTTCTCACCAGAAGTATGTCAGGAGTAGAATTAAAAACGCCCCAGATGGAAAAACTGTACTCTTCAAGACTGGTGGAAAGGTAACTTTATGTTTTGAATTTGTCCTGTAATTAATCATTCCTCCCTCCCCTTATGGCATGTGCTCATTGTACCTATTAAATGTTGTCTTAGCCTTTAGGTGTAGTACATGTTCCTGTTGCCCAAAAACTCTCTGATGAAGTGACTGCTAGGCGGCGTCTTAATAGGACAAAAGCAATTGAGACAGTGGGTAAAACCATAAGCAGTGACCAGATGGATGTGCACATGGTACAGACCCTTAAACGGAAGGGTCAGGAGGAGAGAAGGCAAATTTTAAATGACGCCCTGGGGAAGGAACTAGTTCTTCACATTCCGGAGGGTCAAGCAAATGCCATGAAGGCAGATCTGGGGATCACCTGGTACCGTCTCAATAAACTAAGAAGGTATGTTATAGTTTAATCATGTTTTAATTTACTCATCATGTTCTACGTAACTCTCTTTTAGGCAAAAACAAAATAATTCCATTAAATATTCACAGTACCTAGTTTGGATATCTGAATGTTTTAACATTAAGGTGGTTTAAGCAATGGGAAATCAAGATGGAGAGTGAGAAGAAGCAAAGAGTACGCAAGAGGGAGCAGATAGGAGACAAAATTGAAGAGGAGGTTCTTCCAATGGAATACACAGAGAGATGAGGGAACAAGACTGTCACGGTAATAAAGGAAACTCCCTGTGCCTATGTCAGCGACCTTAAGGAGCAAATTATTTCTTATGTGGATGACTGTGACTTGTAAGTAAGACTATGCTTCTTATTCTTAATTGACTAGAAGACATGTCTATAGGGGATAGTTTCTAATAGCTCTTTACAATAATTTTTTCGCAGGACAGGACAACTTACTTGGCACAATGGCAAAATACCACAAGACAAACTTTTTGTTAAAATTGGGGGAGATCATGGGCAAGGGTCAATGAAATTAGAATTTCAATTGGCCAACCTCGTTAAACCCAACTCTAGCAAAAAAACTGTGGTATTTGTCATTTATGAGGGTAAGGATGCCCGAAACAATCTTCTCACAGTCCTTCAACAGCACGCTGATTCTCTGAAGGAACTTATACTACTCTAAAAGTCAAGTAAGTTACTAATCCTATGTGCAAATTATTACCGGTAATACAAATCTCATTCTTATAGTGTTAATTTGGATGACTGTATAAATTATATTTTAGGAACAAAATCCCAGTCCTCTTTCTTTTTGGGGATTACGAATTCCTTTGTAAAGTTATGGGGATCAGTGGTGCAAGTGGTAAGCAAATCAGTTTAACAAATTTTAATGCACTTTGAATGCTAAAATAAATTCAGGAACTTACAAATTCAACGTCATTCATGCCTCTGGTGTACCATCATAGCTAGTGAGATGAAACTCCCAAAAAATCAAAGAAGCCCTACAACATCCCGTACCCTGGAACACCTTCAGAATTGCCACAAAAAATTCATTGATGATGGGGGTGACATAAAAAAGGCAAAGAACTACTGCAATGTAATCCAGAAGGCAATTTTTGAAATCCCAATTGACCAGGTATAACATCTTATCTAGAAACCTTCTTCAAGATAATGTAGATTATTCCTTTTGCATTATTTCACTAATATTGTTTTGCATGATAATCTTCAGATATGCATTCCTGGTCTCCACATTAGCCTTGGACTGTTTTTGAAGTTTTTTGATATGCTTGTTGGGGAGTGTGATGAGTTAGATACAAAGATTGCCTGGAAATTGGCTGAAAGCAGTAGTCAGCTAGATGGTATGGGTGATCTAAATGAGCACATCACACTTCTTAGACAAGCTGCAGAACACTCAAAGGCAGCCCAAGATTACGACGCACAAGCTCAGTCAACTGAGGAATACGTGGTACACCTTCTGACTGTGGCCAGCAATGTTATAGTGTTTGACGAGGGCAATGAAAACCCAATGATAACATCATTACTCAACTCTGTAAAAGAGCTCAAAGAGAAAGCCAAAAATGAGGTTTGTTGTGTAATTGAAGAGCACGAAACTTTCTTAACTTGGACAATTAAAAAATACTTGATGTCAAATTGATAAATGGAAATGAGATTTTCTTGGCATTGGTTTCAGTTTATTCTTTCTGTCTCTTGTTATTCACTTTTATAGAGAGCGCAGTCAATGGCCATTCAGTCCAGTAATTCACTACCGAAAGGATCTTGGATAGTGAATACTGCAATTGAGAAATTTCTGCAGAAAATTAATGTCAAAAGACAAGCCTACCACAGTCAAAGTTTTGTTGGCAATCATGTTGACATCTGCCTTAAGGTAATAAGTCAGAACGAAAAACCTATCGATATTAGTGATTACTATTCAGACTTGTACCCATGATTAATAAAGTTTAATTATATTATCCTTTTTCAGGCAAACAACATCAAATCTTTGTGTGAAACCATTTCTGAAACGACAAAGACCACATCTCCATCTCTTTTACATGAGGCCACTGCTATCCAGAAGAAGTTTGAATCACTGTTAACCCTATTTGCCCGGTGCCATTCAAAATACAATATATATTATTCCAGTGAGGCAGTGGAGGACACAGAAATTGATGTGTTAGGTACAACAAAAACCTTGAGATCTCCAATTTTTTACATCACCTGTATGAGTTTCTGGGATTCTAATATTTTGTCTACCTTACAATATTATTGTTGTCAACAGAGACAGATGTAGAAGAGTTCGTGTGTTTCTTCAGGACAACTTTCCCAGACGCTTCCTTTCCTCCCAAGCTCCAAATGCTCGAGGAACATGTTATTCCTTTCATGTGCAAATGGCACCCCAGGGGCCCCACTCACATATATATGACGGGGTTCCGAAAGATTTTTTTGGGTCTGACATTTTTGGCCAAAAGGGATTTTTTTGGGTCGCAAAAACAACAGAGGGATTTTTTTGGGTATTGTATTTTTCATCAGCTCAAATCAAAAATAACATAAGCGCAATTTATAGTTTTGTTTTTGACCAAAACCAAAGTTGAAGTTGGCATGTTTTAGCTTTCCAGAAGATAAATAATAAAGATTGCTCAAGCAAAAACACTGAGGGATTTTTTTGGGTATGCTAAAAAAAGTAGGGATTTTTTTGGGTAGACAAATTCTGAAGTTGGGATTTTTTTGGGTATAAAATATGAACCTCTGTCGGAACCCCCCGTCATTTAAAATATGTGAGTGGGGCCCCTGGGAATGGCACTTCCCTCTGGGCTTCTTCGGTGAGCAAGGAGGCGAAAGTGTCCGCCATGAATTTGTCCAGCTTGCATCAACATTTTCTCATGTGAAACCAGCGACATCACGACTAAAGAAAATGATGGGAGAGGATCATTTAGTTGTTCATCCTATAAACAGAGATATGATTCCAGAGAGAAAGAAACGAAACTTAAAACGAGACCAACCCCAGCAAGAATAAGTTCATAATAATGTGCTTACTTTAGTTGAAGTTGAAAAGCTGAGAGCTTCTTACAACCAAAAAATTACACAATTTATTAACCAAATTGAAGTCGTAAACAGCTGTTAGGTTGAGCTTTCTTTAGAAGCATATGTTTTGGCAAGTAAACAAGATTTATTTTTGCTCAGGTTGGTCTGTGTTTACTACATTTTTTAAATATTATTTTAATAAACTTGACTGAATGTAGAGTCTACAGTCGTTGCAAATCACATGATAAAAACATATGAAATAAAAAGCTAATAACAGAAGTCTATTACAATTACTCCGCTCTTTAAATCATATGGCTTTCTTTGCGAGAAAAGGAATAACACCGTAAAAAGATACCAACGCCAGCAGTAGCGGGCGACAACATGGCGGCGAGAACCCCTGAAATTGCCTTCCAAAAGAATCCTTACAGCGCGAGTAAATGAAATGGAACTAAGACACTTACGTGAAATTTGTGGCGTTTCACCATCCATCTTCCGTTTTCAATCACTATTTCCCATGGAAAAACTTCACAAAATCCAGCAGAAGCGTCTGAAATCTTTGCCAAAGAGACTAGGGTCAAACCTTGCTATCGGAATCGACGAATTTTCGTCGCTAAATAAGTCAAAATCAGTCCAAGGACAGTCGGCCATTTCGACGTGCGCCATATCTTTGACCCTTCCATGATCATTTCATGTTGTTTTCTTAGACAATAGACTCTATGTAGCCTGAAATTCATCCGATTGCTTCGAGTCGTTTTCTCCTCTCAACAACTGAGGGAGTAATAACGACTCGAAGTAATCGGATGAAATTCAGGCTAGACTCTATGCGGCATCATTCTATTGGCTTTCAAACAAAGACTCCATCCGTTGCAGCCAACAAATCCGTTGCTAGGCGTTGCTAGGTTGAATTCATTTCCATATCAGATAACGCTGGGCGCTTACCGCGGGGTCTGAACAGAAAAAACTTTCCCCTGCGAAAGCGCCGCGCACGTGGAGCCAGCAGTCCGTGACGGTAAAATCAGTGTTGACACCTGAGAAGTTTTGTCAATGGAAGTTCAATACAAGCCTTTATTGACAGGTTCCTGGCCAGTATTTATGCCCAAATATTTTAAATACTTGATGCAAGTTTTCGTGACCCTTCACGACCCTTCGCGACTGGTAAGGAATTTCATCTCTATCTTTGCGCGCTCTAAACAAGAGAGCTTTTTCTCTCGCGAAAGTTATTTTATAAAAGAATAGAAGACTTTTTTTTCCTGTATTTGCATATATTGATATAAACACTCAAGGGGTTGGGAGAATTCTCGACAGTTGTGCAAACCCTCCACTTCGTCTCGGGTTTGCAGATCAGACTCAAATTCTCCCAGCCTCTCTCATGTTTAAATGGGACGGAAATCGTGGCATTGAATTTAGAGGCGCCCCGCGACTGGTAAGAAATTTCACCTTTATCAATGCGCGCTCTAAACAAGAGAGCTTTTTCTCTCGGGAAAGTTATTTTATAAAAGCGTAGAAGACTTTTTTTCCTGTATTTGCATATATTGATATAAACACTCAAGGGGTTGGGAGAATTCTCGACAGTTGCGCAAACCCTCCACTTCGTCTCGGGTTTGCAGATCAGACTCAAATTCTCCCAGCCTCTCACATGTTTATCGTGGCATTTGCATTCCGTGTGGTTAGCGAGCCAATCAGAAGCAACGATCCTTACAAACAGTGTCTTTTGATTGGTCGGGACGCTCCAGCTTACTCCTTTTATTCTCGAGGATTTCTGTTGCTACTTATTCGGGGAATGTGGAGAGCTACAGGCTACTACAATATTATTGTACTATTCAGTAGAGGACTCTTGCAAGTATGAGTTTCCGGTAGGTTTAAATTAATACACTTTACCACCAAAGTGATGGCGACGCACTGCATGGGAAATTGCCGCCGCGATTATCTCGCGTCGGTAGCGATCATCATCACACAGTTAACTTTCGACCGAAATGAAAATTATTTACGATATTTAATAAGAATGCAACAATTTCCATGTCGCGATCGTGCGACTCCCGATAACCTTCTCTACGCCGAGCAAGCACTCTATCCTCTGAGTCTCAGAGACTTGTGGAAAATAGAGAGAACATACCCACTCTTTACTAGAATCGTATATGACAGGCATCCTTCAGATTACTAGGATCAACCATGACAAAAGGGTACAAATTTTATGGTGATATTAAAAATGTGACAAGAGGGACAAGGCAAAAATGTTGTGAGAGTTGTTCATGCATGTTGCTGGGAAATGAAAGTACCGAGAGCCGTACCGTATCGAGAGTCCTACAAAACCTAAGTAACTTGAAGGTCGGTCAAGTTTTTTAAAAAATGTTCATTTCGGTCTGCTGTAAAGTCAGCGTTTATACCTGGAGCTCCTTGAGAGCTGCTAAAAGACTTGACACCGTAAAAAAGTTCTTTCCATTTCTTCCTGACGTGCATCGTACTCTGGCGAGCGAGGGGTGAAGTAAGACCATCAAGGCATCAATGTAAACTTAACATAACCCTTTTATACAAAATAAGGTTTAAATGCCTCTTCGGAGATGCAAGGAAAGACCGATTATCAGTACCGAAAAACTTTTGCATTCGCGCTTATCAGTTGAGCTCTTATTGATTTGTATTCAGAAATTCTTACATGCGGACGCCCATGGAAACACCATCATTTTAGAGTTACAACGTTTGTGAGGAAGTTAATCGGTTTGTCAATTGAATTTTTAAGGTTTACTCTTTATTTTTAATATCTTCCACTAAGGAACATGAACATCTAGGCTTTACTTCAGCAAAAGCAACCAACAGCAAAATATTCGGTTGCATTGGTTTCGGCTGGATGGAGGCCAGTCAGCAGAGTATGGCAGGTCCACGCGCGACTTTTCTTAACAATAAGTAATAAGGGCCTAAAAACGGCCTTGCACGCGCGAGATCTCGTCGACTTCTGCCATACTCTGGAGGAAGCAAAATGATAGCAAGAAATCGAGAAATCGCTTAACATAGTGATAAAATTACGAGCATATCAGTATAAGAATCACGATATTCACTAAAATGAGCTGTACAAAGTGTTTACTTGAGTGACTTTACCACAAAAAGAACAAGATGTAACAAGCAAGCCATGTATCGAGTAGAAACACTTAGTTCATATTGTGATTGCGCTTTCCTGACTTTTGATTTCGGCTCAAGATCAGATAAAACAAAAATAACAAGGGGAAAAAAGCTTGTAATCCATTAACGGCGGGGCAAAATTAAAATAAGACTATTTTAACTTTATCAGAATTAAAGAATCGGAGAAAAATAAGCCGGCTATAACAGCTGTAAATCTGCATTGTAAAATTTACCTTGCTATTACAAAGTAGTGAAGGTTAGTTCTCCTCACCATGATATTTTAAAGTTAATAGCTTTTTCATATGTATTTACAAACTTGATAGTTATCAACAAGACATTTGTACTTAGTTAATAATACGAAAAAGCAAAACCAAGTTCAATCACGACAATGGAACAGAGTGAAGACAACTAAAATGCTTAGTATATATATATATATATATATATTTTTTTTTTTTTAAGAGATCCTACTGAAGTTAAGTAAAATACATCTCCGCTGCTAAGAATGATGTCCGACTCAAGATAACTGATTTTAGCTGTACTGAATGAGATCGAAATTAAAGCGAAAAGTTTAAGTCTGTATAAAATTGAAATTAACTTTACCTTGCCCGTGCTTTGTTTACATGAATTTCAAGCATAGCTGTCGTTATTCCTTCTGGGTGGACCGGTTAATGTGCCTGAAAACTCCAAAGATCAGTCCGTATAATCTGGATATATATAGACTATTGTCCCTGTGCTACATATTGAGCTTAACGCACTCACGCCAAAAGCACGTTTCATGCAATGCAACTTCAAAATCGACAGATACAAGTTCCACGTAGGTTTTGTGACGAAGCAGATGCACACAAGTCGGTTTCTCACCGAGTTTACCAGCTGTAATGGTAAAATGCCCTGCAATTCCTTGCCATGTTGGGTAATTTCTTGATCTGATAAAGTACATCATTTTTCCCTTGGCATCAGAAATCCAAGAATGACTAATAGACATTTACAGCTTTCAACAAATCAATGGCGGAAGTAAACTGTGTTGCTCTGAAAGACATCAGGAAATTCTGTCATGCAAACCGCTTTCGTTTCTCACACGTCCGTCGATTCTCTTTTGTTTCTTAGTGAACTCCATTTAACTTTACAACTACGTTTTAACTTCAAAGAATCCCGTTTTTAGTTTAGCTTGGTTGTTCTTGAAATCGTGTCTTCTCTGAATGTATTAATTTTAATTATGTATTTCTGTTACCAATCAGAACGCTTTTATCTCCTACGTCATTGTGTTTTTGACGAGCAGGTCACGCTACACTTCTCGCTCCAGTCTGTTGTTTCGTCAGGCGTTCTGTCTGTAGCGCCCTGAGTGCATTGTCTCTAACTCAAGAATCTGTTTTTAATTGTCTACCATCAAATTGTTTATTATTCAAGTATTCACTTTGTATAGAACACTCCGAAACAACAAATATTGCACGATTAACCGGAGGAACGCAAAGCACGAAACGCGAGAGGCCCTGGCGCACTTCCTTGTTACCTGACAAAGATCATATTGTTCTGTTGACGGAAAAGGTTACTCAGAGGGCCGAAATTTCTCCTGTGATCATGAGGCTTTGTTTGCTGGCCAACACGAAGAGCCGGAAGTTTATGTTAGTGAATTTCGAGTCGAGTCAGTGATTCCATCTTGGAATAAAATTTACATTTTTTGTGGTCTTGGATACCCCTCAGTCAATCAAAAGAAAGCATTTCTGGGGGCGTTATGGGGGTGGGGTAATAGGCTCCTAATTTAAGCCACTCAAATGCGAAGTATCCAATTCTGAACGAAGCACTGCTGTTACTTAACACTGATAGTGTCGTAAAGTAAGAAAACACCAAAGAAAAACTGCTAATTTTCAGTTTGTCTTCGTTCACAACACAACACTAGTTGAGGTTTCGGAATTATGAGTACTCAGAGCAATCTCAGGGCTGCTGGAAGAGCGATTTGCACTCGGTAGGTAGAAACATCTATCAGGCTTTTACGAGGTGTGCGATGGCCGGGGTATAAACGTACACACCAACTCGTTATTGAGCTTCCTCAGAAAAGGGCTTTTCAGCATAAATATTTAAGGTGCAAGTAATAAATTAAGAACAAAGTTTTCACAATAAGACTATTTACAATATCACATGTGCTAACTTAATACTTTGGCTCACGCATTTCATGGTAAAACACCCTGCAAAAAAGTTAAAATAACTTAAAAGCCGGTTACATTTTGTTTAATATTATTAATCTTTTGTTAAAATTTTTGTCCCGATTACCAAGAGAAAAATTACCGATTCAATAACAGTTTGGACTTTCATCTGATGCGGACCCCCGTGGAAACACAATACACTTAAAGTTAGCGGGAGAGACGAAACTGTCTGTTCGAGAGGAGATTGGTTCACCAAATAATAATTACTGAGGTCTGCTGTTATTTCCTGATATCCTCTTCAAAGAAAGAAACCTAATGTTTTTTATAAGAACCCGACGGACAAACTATGCCCATTTTCGCCCTCGAATGGCAAGTCACTGCTTACAATCAAACTCATCGAACCTTCCCTTTAGTTATGGCGTAGTTTACTGGTTATGGAGAGACAGACTTAAGATGCTGATGAAGAGCGAGTAAACCGGGGAACGTTCATAAATCAATTGAAAATTTCAGTTTGTCTAGCTACACACTGATATTTATTTAGAGTATAAAACCGGCATAGAATCCCCTACCCGAAACACGCAAATCAAAAATCGCTCAGACTTAAACCAAAAAGAGAGAAAGCAAGACATGCCATTAACAATGTAATAAAAACTTTGAGTCAACATTGAGTAGATACAAAAAAAGCGTCCATCTCATGATAGTATTAGTCATTCTTAATTCTGATAGGCTACTCATGTAAGGAAGTGCTCTATGAACCAAACCAAAACCCGTAGGTCTTTTATTCGCAGGCGAAGAAAGAACCTTATTCGGACAACTATTATCATATATTTACACCCTCTTCTATTGGACAATAACAACAGTTAAACCATGCATTTTACCTGTGATCAAACATTACGAGTAACAGGTTAATTGAAAGTTATCTTATTGGATACTACCACATCAAATGAGATTTTATTATTTCTCCGCTGCTAGGAAATATCGTATGTTATCATCGTATTGATATTTTTTATGTTTGGCCAAGTAAGTTTAAAAAACTATAATTTAGAGTTGGTTTCAAATTTCTATATATCGGTACAGTGTAGGTAACTTAAGGTAGCTAACTTGAGATTATCAAATAACTAGAGCGATCACCATCAACAATGACAACAACAGCCATGTTTAATCTTGCGCAGTGTGCAACTTTCTAATTCAATATCCGATTGTAACTCACGTACCAGTGTTTCGAAGCGTTTCCTCAGTGTACTATTGAAATAATGTCATTCTTTGCAGTGATCAGACATGATTAGACCACCTGATAACATACACTCCTTTCGCATCCACTGATCCAACAAATCAATGCCGGAAGTACGGCGACCTCGAAGTGGTTTAAATCGAGGCCACTATAGTTTCTCGCACAAAATAATTTCAAGAGCGAATAACGAATCTTTAGTTCTTGAGTCTGCTTGCTCTAAAACACCTGCTAAAACTGCATTTTAAAGTCAAAGCAAACCCGTCAATTTCCTGACGATGTTCAAAGTTCGCATTTGTAGAATCCAGTCTTAAATGTATTTGTGTTGCCAATCAGAAGGCTTTTTTGGCCTCAAAATTGTATCGATCGGTCCCGAAGGTCACCCGACTTACCTAGCAGCAAAAATCCATCAAAAATGCAGTACATCTAAGCGTAGGAAAACCTCAAAAGGCTCAAAATCAGAAAAGACAGTATATTATCAAAGTTACTCTCTGTCGTATGATCTGACTCGCGAACAATAACTGTTTTTTTCTTCAGATGGTGTCATGAGCTGGCGTGCTACTACTGTTCACACCGCAAAAATGTAGTCTCTGCTCGCAGGGTAATCGGCTGCAAGTAGCAGCTTTGGAAATAATGTTAAACAATGTTGCGTTATTGTTTTCTGCAACCAATGAGGAGACACCTTACGAAGAGTTCTGAAATTGCTGCATACAACCCTATGCATATGTACGTTATTATGCACGGAAAATCTTTATACGAGTTTACAAATTTGAACACATAGGGTCCACACGTGATCGAGGGGGACAAAAAATACTCTCGAGGAGAGGAGGGGAGGCCTTAATGTTCTGCTGGAAAAATCACGGCCGGCCTTGGCCGGTTGCGAGTAAATAGTTTAGAAAATTCACAAACGAGGAAAATGCTCAAAAATTCTTTCATTTTCACAATTCGGTACAAGGCAACACAAAACGAGCAAAAACTCAGACTGCAGCCTCCCGCTAGTTAGGAAATCACCCGACAACAGGAAGTGTGACTGTCGAGAGGTTTACATTTACTGCCAAAAGTCAGGAAAAAGTTAAAGTGACACACTATCTCAACCAGCTTAAGCTCAAGCTCTCAAGCCTCTTGTCTCTCAAAGCGAACCTGGCATCGAGGTGTTAACCACTTTTTCATATCGCGGGATCTCTCTTTATACTTGGTGTTACTTCGCGCGAGCGGAAATGTATATTCAACTCTATTTACAAGCATACTCAAGAGATTATTATAGACATGTGATCAGAACAACAGTTTCTGGTGGTGAACAGGTTAAAAAGAGCCTTATGTTTTCCTCCCTTTAGGCAGGTGGGGGTTGCAATATTGACCACCCGCCGACGGGCGGGTGGTCAATATTGCAACCACCGCGAGCCAATAAGAAACAACGATGCGTGAGAACACGGTGTCTTGATTGGTCGAGACAGTTGCGCTGAGGATATATAGATTGAAATTGAAGAGTTAGAGCTGTTTTCGAAAACGGAGAAAGCAAGAACGGGAGAAGCTGAGTAAAACGCTAATACGATTCTTATGCTGTAGAGTAGAGGACTCTTACAAGTATGAGTTACCAAAGTAGTATTCTTTCTGCCACTACTGGGACAACGATAAACAACCGGTAGGTTATTACACTTTACCACCAAAGTGATGGCGAGGCACTGTACGGCAAATTGCCATCGCGATTATCCTGCGTCTTTAAAGAGCGAAACCAAGAGAAATGGCTTTACTTTGAGGAAGCGTCTAAGTTTTTAGTGATAAGGCTGGCGGCTAGGATAATGTCATTATTTGTCTATATTTTTCCTATAGGGGAAATAATGAAGTTGCGGGACATTCAGCTGCTTCAGGGAGAGAGCCAATAGAGCAAGGGGTAGGTAGATATTTACAAGCTCAAGAGGTGCCTATCAGTATCCTAATAGAAAATATCAAAACCTTCCAAAATTAGAAAAGATAAAATCACTTTTTTACTGCACTAGCACTTTTTCTGCGGTTCGTGTTTCCGTATAGCACGTTGCCGAAATCAAAATTTCATTAATCCTATAGCAAGGTTTGACTTAAAAAAATGGCAGGTTTAAATTTATCTGTTTAGTGCTTTTCCCAAGTTTTGGCATCAGCACAGTTATACTGCGACGACCCGCTTCGTAATATTTGGGGGCTGGGACTCACATGAATTGTGACCGTTGACTAAAGCCCAAAAGTGTGACCTCCTTTAATTAATTCACATTCTTTCATGCAGACATTAGCCAATCAGAAGTCGAGGACAGTTTCCAGCTCGCTTCTGATTGGACAAATCTGCACGAAAGAATGTGAATAAATCAAAAGCGGTCACACTTTTTGGCTCCTTTCTGTAAGAGCAAAAAGAAACAACCGTACAATTTTTAACAAGAAAGTGAGTAATATCTCCTACGCAGATTTAAAAATACGTATTTGCACTTTCTTTTCAGGCGATCGGTGGTCAACCCATTGAAGGAGTATATCTTCCCATTCATAATGGAGAACAGATAGAAGGATCTCAACAGATTTTTATTGGTCAGCTTGACACTGCAGAGATTTACAATGGGCTGATGGATTCCCAAGGGACTGGCTCACCATTGCCAGTTGTGCAACCAAGATATCCTGACCGCCTGAAAGAGATACTTGTTGAGAATATGAATTTTCATCCAATGCAGGAGGTTCCCTTATACCAGGTGCATTCTCGAAGAAGTAGACAACCGATGCAGTACGCGGAGCAAACTAGAGGAATGCAGTTCAGAGATTGGTCCGAAGCTAGACCACCAGCAACTCAGATGCACTCTGGGCGAGGATGGACTGATGCAACTGAGTCGTTCAACGGAATCAGGTGCTCTAGATCTGTCGAGGAGACCAGCCAATTTCCGGAGCAGAATCAAGGAGGTGAACGGATGCGTGCAACCAGTTCTCCACGACAGCTGACTTTGAACAGGTCAGTATACGTCCTCAAATTAAGCCAAACACACATGATATCCTATTCAACTAATTCAAGGGCTATTTCAAATGTTTCCCGATCCTCTGGCCATGGGTAAGCAGTGCGTCATGTTACACCTTGACTTGATTGAAATCGCAGTGGTTGGTTTTACATCTCTAATGAGCATGCAGGAATGGCAGAATCATGACGTAGTTTAATAGACAGTTTAATTTCTATGATCTTTGCTACCTAGTCACTTATCAATACGCTGAAAGGGTCATTTAAAGAAAGCCATGAAATTCTAAGTAAACATCGGGAAATAACAGCAGTTACAGGTCATAATGACTTCCATAAACATCGTACAAGCGTCAAAGTTTACTTTTTTAGCCAGTATAGCATCCAAGTTTGTTAGCGACTCTTTCCAATTTGTCTTTTCTCTACGCCACAACTCAAAAACTGCCCCCACAAAACCAACCAGACCTTTACGAAAAATGAAATAATCATCCTAAAACCGATTTTTCTCTACAGGTCAAGTCCAGCAGAGCCTTTGTTAACTAAAGGTCAGATCTGTGGTGGAAATTATACTTGGAAGATAGAGCATTTCTCTCAGCTCCTCCAGGGTGATAGTGATGGAATAAAAACATCACTTGATAGTCCTCTAATTTATACTAGTTTGTGTGGATACAAGTTCTTCATGCGTATCTACCCAAAAGGCGATGATGGTGGAGATGGAAGTCATATTGGCCTGTTTGTTGGTATGATGCAGGGAGATTTTGATAACAGGCTCAAATGGCCATTTTGTGGACGAATCTCCCTCTCCATGTTGGATCAAAGTAATGATGCTCACAGCTTCTGCAACGATGTCAGTGGCACTTTCATGGCCAGCAGAAATCTTGAAGCTTTCAAGAAACCTGCTGCCAGCGGACAATACACTACCCTGTATGGCTACGAAAAGTTTGCGCCTATCGACACGGTTCGTCGCCCACAGTACTCCAAAGATGATGCAGTGATGATCAATATCGAGATTCACAAAAATTTCTAAACATTTTTCATATAAGAACGTACAACTGCTAGGCTGTAAAAACTCCATAAAAAAATTTTCACACTTTTTGAATCAAAATACATCCAAGTAGAAAAACTGCAAAAGAGCTTCAATGATAATCATTACTTCTTGCAGTAATGTTTCTACACAGAAATGTTAGTAAATTGAAATATGTAGCCGTTAACTTTGCATTAGGTCTTAGATAGGTTTATAATTTGTTTTGAGGATTTTTTTACCATTTTACTCAATGCTTTTCTTTTTGCATACTGATATAAACCTCAGTGAAACCTTTATTAACCCTTTAAGCCGACAGGAGTCAGTTATAGGCTTCTGCTAAGAGTAATCAGCATCAAATTTCTCTTTTCAATGTAGGTGCTTCATAAAACAGAGGGAAATCGATAAAAAAAATCACCAAACAAGTTGGATTTCCTAAACGTTCTCGATCCCACTTGATCCATTTGGGAAATGTACAACGGACGACAAATGAGGACATTTTTTTATATGAGGGTTTAAAAGGCCTGTAAAGAGAATACCGACCTCAATAGCTTCGGATGTCCGCTCGCAAGAGATGTCTGCTTGATACAAGCGTTTTTATTGAAAACTTGAGAAATAAGTTCATATTCTCCAGTACACAAGTTTACGCTTACTGTAGTTGTCAGTTTCCCTATATAGGGAAAGGGGGTGGTACTTGGCCCCAAATATTGTTACCAGTTTCCGCGACGTAAATATTCGTACAGTTAAATGCTGCACATGCAAATACCTTCAATAATTATAATTTTGCAGCATTTTCGCTATAAGAGCCTCGATAATGTTTGCCCGTTCTTTACCATGTGAGAGGAAAATCATTGTTTTAGTCTAAGCCGACTGGACTTACTGTATAGTCTACCGGGTATTTCTTTTAGATGTAACGCTAGAAAATCGCTTATCGTTGTTTTTGCGGGAGAGCAAAACTAGGCCGGAGGCTTGGATAGATAGTGTTGGGTATCAGAGACAGTGGGGAAAGTTTCCAGTTATTTTCTCAGTGAAAACTTATATTCCGCAATGTAGTCATATAGTGTATAGGTGTAAATATTATGAAGGGGGTGGCGAAAAGTTTCCATGAAATTTTACGTCATTTTAAAAACATCGGCACCTGTCAGTTTATGTTGAAATAAAGGAGGAGAAAGTGCGCTTTCGCCTCGAGGTAGTGGTACATGCCAAAAGGTTTGATGTACCCTGCGAGCAGACTCTCCTGGGAAGATCGAAGGAGACTCTGCTCGCAGGGTAGGTTTGATGGATTCATAGAATAATAAATTCCTTTAAAGACTAAACTTTGTTTTCTTTCGCCATCCCTATTTTATGCGTTTAAAAATGCTTTCGTAAAGTTAAAAAGAGAGTTAAAATGCTCAGCTATTGAGTAGTATCGGTTGTAGTGGAAAAATCAATAAAGCAAACGTGAAACGTTGCGCATTATTTTTTTGATCATTTGATTGCATAATGTAAGGAACCTGGGAGCAATACATTTTTTGGGTGTTGGGCTGTCGTGCTAGCTGTCGAAACTTGCCTCTGAGTATTTCTTTTCCTCTGGGCGTTTTTACTCGCTGTTCTTGTGCATTGAATAAAAGTCTGAAACTCAAAACAGAGAGGGAAAACATGATAAAGCTTGGGAAGCCTGTGAAATGAGCCCGCGGTTAACAACAGTAATCCAAGATGGCGGCCATGTCACGAGAAGGTCAGTTGTATTTTTTATTTTTAGATTTTGATTCTTCAGTAAGGTGTTTTTCCTATAATCGCGGTCATAATAATATGGTGTTTTTGTACTCAACTCATTTTTGTCTTTATACAGTGTCATGGTACCATCAGATGAAACATCTTCGTCTGTGGGTTAAATCACAGCGAAAGTCATGGCCAGTATAAACTTGCTTTAGTTTTGTAAAAACTAAAGAAGATGTCTTCTACAAGTAGCAGTCGTCTTTGTAACTGCTTCCGTTCGATGTGGGCTTCAACAGTGCAGTTTATTGTGTCACAGGATGAGAGTGTTAGGCGGAGACGACGCTTGTTGTTGGGGATTGTTGTTTTACTGCTGGTGGACGTTCTTTGGGTTGGCTCGTCAGAACTGACAGATGTGAGAACAAATTTAATACTACTTATTACTACTCTATTACTAGATAGCGTACGAAAATTACCACTAAATATTTAAAAGCAAACCTTTTCATCAGAACATTACAATAAAAATTAATAAATGGTTTGCAACCATATCATCTGGAAAGGCTGCTATGTTGGTGATCAATACAAAATACATATATTTTTTACACAGAATTTGCATGAGAACAGGGTTTAAAGTTCCCAGTAGAGAGAAATGCTTTTGTTATTGACCACCAAGATGTTTACCATGATGTCGTCACATGTAAACCAGCTGATTTGGTTGCTTTTATCAGGAGCGGACCATTAATTAGAAAAGTTATGGCAGGGATTGGGAAGTTTTTGAGCTGCATGATTTTTTTGTTAACATGTCCATTATTTCTTTAGTCATTTTTCCCTTGAATTAATTTTGCAAGTGTGTGCTTGTCCCCCTCCCCACCCTACCCCACCTCCTCCCATAGCTTTTCTAATGGTCTGCCCAATAAACAGAAGCGTCCATGGCAAGAAGCGGGTTGGACTGTGTAAATAACTGATAAATAGTCCATTTCCCATTATTTATTGAGTCGGCTGGGGTTAGATTATGTCTTCAATACAGGCTACCAACCACACAACCTCTCTACCTTTCCAAAAACAAATCTCACCCCTCTGCTGTGGCATTTTCAGACCAAACTAAGGCCCAAAGTCCTGAAAGAAAAATTTTTAGGAGACTGCCCCCCCCCCCCCC